TTTCCCCGAGCTCCGGGCGTGAGGAAGACTGTCTCTTGTCTTTCCCCAGACATGAAGAAGACGCAGTGGGAGGACCCCCGGCTGCGGAGCGCGGCGGTAACCGGGCCAGTGAGTCCCCACCCCGGGCTGTGGGTCGGGCTCCAAGAGGAGCAGCCTTTGCTGGCCCCTTTCTGAAAAGGTGGTGCGAGGCCGCTTTTACCCTGTGTCCCAAACTTGGACAGTGAGACTCAGCCAGGGGCGGGGGCAGAGGGCTGCTCAGCGGATGCTCCCCAAAACCAAAAGGCACACCGGGGAGGAGCCAGCCTGTGACGGGGTGTGCGTGTGGCTGCTCCTGTCCTCTCCAGGGCCACACCTTCAACGAGATTTTTAACCAGAGCCACTCCAGATACCCACTATTTAGGTCCTGTTCACATTTTCTGATTACTTACATTGTACTTGATTATACTACCCTTGACTTGGGTTAATTATAGGAAGTTCAGTCTCTCTAATATAGCTACTTTTTTATTTTCCTCCAAATTTGTTAATTCACAAAATTAATAAAAATTAAATGTAAGGTTTTGTTTTGTTTTAGATTAGTGTTTATTATCTTGGTATGTACTCTTTTAAAATAAAAAAGAACAGGAGCTCCTGGGAGTTGAACAAGAAAGTATATTTTTTTCAAATTGTTCCTTTAATGGAGAAGAGATAATTCCAAAGCTTTTCAGAAGTAAAAATCTCTACTTGAAAGACTTATTTTGCCTCTGGCATGTCACATTTTAACAATATTGCATGGTGACACATGCTGCTAGGCCTAGTACTCGTAAGGTGGAGGCAGATGGATCTCTGTGAGTTCAAGGCCAGCCTGGTCTACCTAGAATTCAGGGACAGCCAGTGATACATAAGAGAGACTGCCTTAAAAAAAAAAAAAAAAGAAAAAAGAAAAACTGCAGCCATGGGTCCTAATGAATGCAATTTTATCTTAAAGAAACATTTTTTTAAATTTTTTTTAAGTTTTCTGTTTGCTTTTCTTCAAATGAAACTTGAATTTCCAAATAATTATTGTGTGTGTGTGTGTGTGTGTGTGTGTGTGTGTGTGTGTGTGTGTGTATATATATATATATATATATATCCTATATATATTCAGAAAATATCCAGGGGGAGCTTATAATACTGTTTAGAGTAAAAACAACCTAAACTTTCTTTGTTTTCCCAAATTTCTCAACTAAAGGCAGTGCCCTACTCCCGGGATTACAAGAGAAAGTACGAGTTCTTCCGAAGAAAGCTGAAGAAGCAGGTTCGTGACATTGTACCAGCCGCTCGTAGAGAATGGGGGTGCGCATGTGTAGTGCAGTTTCCTGTGGAGACCCCAGCCACCGGGCCCCCTGCACCTGCAGTTCAGGTGCTTGTGAGCTGCGCAGTGTGAATGCTCTAAGGTGGGGTGAGGTCCTTTGCATGAGCAGTACCCACTCTTAACTGCCGAGCCCTCTCTCCAGACTTAGGATGGATGTATTTCAGGTAACAATTGTTAAGCAACGTGCTCACATTCATGTTTATTTTCCAGGAGTCTTTGTAACATAGAAAAACATCATGAGACATTTCCTTAAGTCTCTTGGGCCTTGGTCTTTGTGACTTTGTGCTCAGAAGATTTTCTTTTTACTTTGTGTTTGAGACTTCTGGGTTAAGCCATCTGTTCTTCATAGCTTTAAGTACAACATTTCTACATAATGTCTTCCTCATGCACTGACCCCTTCCTCCTTTCCCTGCAGTTTAGGAGCATGGCCACTAGGTGGGAGTGTTGGGTTGTGCTTCCTTGGGTGAATTTTCCAGGGATTCAAAATGGTGGGTTGGCTGCCAGTATTTTTTCATTTGCAAATTTAGCAAAATGAAGTTCTACATTTTTTTGGTGTAAATATTATATTCCCCCCAGCTTTTTAAATAGAAAAGGCCTTTTAAATTTTCCCAAAGTTAAGTGATACCCTTAAATGATAGCTTTGTGTCTAAATTACTCTGAAAATGGTTCGCTACCTTTAGGCGTTCTGATTTTAAAGCGTTTGATGAGGGAGATGGGTAGATAGTCCAGTGCTTGGGCCCTCGGGAGGCAGAAGCAGGCAGATCTCTGAGTTTGAGGCCAGCCTGATCTACGTAGAGAATTCCAAGCCAGCCTTGGCTACATAATGAGGATATATCTCAAAAGGTTAAAAAAAAAAATGGTAGAACGCAATTGAGGAAGACATTAACTATTGCCCTCTTACCTGTACATACATACACATAGAGAGACAAACTACTCAGACACTTTATAAATAAGCAAATACATGGGCATGCGGTGCTCAATTTTTTTAAATATAAATAACTAAATCGTTGGTGTTTTGAGACATTCTGGATGGGGCCCAGGCTAGCCTCCGACTCATGCTGACCTTCCTGCCTTAGGCTGTTAGCTGTTCCCACAGACAGCTGTTCATGGGCGGCTTCTGTAAGTTTGGACTTGGTGGTGCCTTCCCCCACTCCCACCCCCGTGCTGTGCGGTCCTTGAAGCAGCCTCCTTTCATGCCTGTCCCCATCCCTCACCCCACTGAGGGACCTGGCCCAGAGCAAGGCCCTTTCCTGCACCAGTTGCCTGGTGATTAGTCTTGAAAAGCCACTTTTCTCCAGGCCTGCTGTTACTTAACTTGCAGGAACTGTGGGGGAAACCAGTGAGGTGCTTATTCCGCTTCTGTGGGCTGTTGTTTGTACTAAGTTGAGGGGCTTTCTGTTTCCCCTTAACATACTAGCGGATTGACATGTTCTCTGAAGAGCTGCTCTTTCTCTCTTTGGCCCGACAGAAGACTTCTGTTCTCCTAACAGAGCCGACGTGACAGCTGTACACAAAGCACTCAGGGAACACACTCAGATACACTTCATAGTGTTTACAGCAGGCTCCGAGCCATAGTTGTCCACACTTGCCTCCAAAGCACAGGACCTAAAAGAGATGAGGGAGCCAGGTGTCCTACATTAAGAGCAGAGGCTGGAGAGCCAGACCTTCTCAGCTTCTGAAGTCTCTAGTTTCCTCATGATAAGACGGAGACAGTAGCTTGTGACAGTGTCGGTGTGATGAGTGAATGAATAAGGACAGCGCCCGGGACAGGAGCAGGAGCAGGCAGAGAGCGAGCAGCCTGCAGTAGGTGAAACGCTGGTGCAGAATGGCCAGGCCTGCAACTCATGTGGAACGCGCTGCTGGCGAAATGCGTCTAGGGTTTGTTCTCCCCGTCTGTAGCTTCTTTACACGTAAAACTCAGAAATGATTAGGGAAAGTGTGTATGTGCTGCCACTGTAGAAGAATGTTAAGGCTATATGTCTAAACTGGGTGGGGCGGTAAGGGGTGCTGAGGATAGAAGGTCTTGAGTTCTAGGCCAGCCTGAGCTAAATAGCAAGTGCACGGCCAGGCTGTGTGACAAAAACAGACCTGTTTCTTAAAGCAGAGGGGAAGGAAGGGAAGGTCAATACGCCCGAGTGGGTTTTTCCTGGTGGGTTTGCTTACAGGAAAACGGCCGTGGGCAGAGTGAAGTGTGGTAACACGCCAGGCTGGTTTAAACCATGTCTCTCCTCCCTGGCTCTGCAGAATGACATTCCAAACAAATTTGAAATGAAACTCCGCCGCGCAAATATCCTGGAGGATTCTTACCGGAGAATTATGGGAGTGAAGAGAGCCGACTTCCTCAAGGCTCGCCTCTGGATTGAGTTTGATGGTGAAAAGGGACTTGACTATGGAGGCGTTGCTCGAGAGTGGTTCTTCCTCATTTCAAAGGAGATGTTCAATCCTTACTACGGGCTGTTCGAGTACTCTGCTACGTAAGTTCAACTAAGACTGTAGTCACTGACATCACAGCTGGCACACATTCTTTAAGTGACTGTGTACATGAGGTGAAAACAGTTCAGTTCTCCAGAACTAGGTGGCCTGTTAGAAAGCTGTGTGATTGATGTCACAGGGGGATGATAGCTGACGTCTCAGAAATGACTTTCTAAAATTGGGTTATATAACATGAAACATTTTAGCCGTGTGTGTGTGTGTGTGTGTGTGTGTCTCCACGGTGGATTGCACATGATAAGGCCCTCTTCCACAGAGCTTCCACTCTGGCCTTCTGTGAGCACACATTTGGCTGACATTTCAAGTACATTCTGCATTATTGATCTCTGTACTTTTCCCATCCTCCTGAAATAAGTCTCCATTAAACATTTTCCCCTCCGTCTCCTGGCAGACACTGGTCTACTGTTCTCTAGTGACAGTAGGTGCACAGTACCATGCAGCTTTTGGCCTCAGTGTGTGGATTATTTAACTTAGTATCTGCCGAGTGATATTTCCTTGGGAAACGTGAACAGACCTCTGTTTGCCCCAGATAGGGTACTAAGAACAGACCAAGTAGGATTCTACCAAAGTCCAACATGGTCTTTCTTGAATTACTTTTAGAATTGTGGGTGAGGGGTTGATTCTCCTGCGTCAGGGATGACTCAAAGCTAGCTGCCTAGCGTGGGTCAGGGCCTACAAAGGCCATGTTCCTGGAGCTCACTGCATGACGTCAGGTAGCTCAGAGTCTCTTCTCCCCACAGTTGTTGCTCTTCACCTAGCCCAGGAGAGGGGTTCTGTGGATCTTGCAAGTTTTGATAACTCCCTGGGTCTGTCTTTGTTTTTAATTTTGTTTAATGTGTATAGATTTTAGCCTGCATGTCTATCTGTACCACATGCATGAAGTACCCTCGGAGGCCAGAAGAGGGCATCAGATCCCTAGAACTGGAGGTACAGGTGGTTGTGAGTGGCCATGGGGGTGCTGGGAATTCAGCCCAGCTTTCTTCTACACAAGCAGCAGGTGTCCTCATCACTGATCTGGGTCTCCAGCCCCACTTCCTGAGTCTTAGGGGCCCCTCCCTCCTCCAATTGGCAGGGTTTTCTCTTTGTCCTTTGTACATACAGATGGACAGCTTTTGTCTATCCATTTACCTGTCCTTTGGGATTATTTCTACCTTTTGACAGAAATGGTTAGTTTTAAGACCATTATCAGATCCAGTGGTTTTCATAGAGGAAGATAACAAAAGAGGAGAAATTTTCATAATCACTTGCCTAGATACGGTTTCCTATGAAATTTTGAGCAGATGACATAAGTGTGGTTTGTCTTCACAGGGATAATTACACCCTGCAGATAAATCCAAACTCGGGCTTGTGTAATGAAGATCACCTCTCGTACTTCAAGTTCATCGGTCGCGTGGCTGGGATGGCAGTTTACCATGGCAAGCTGTTGGATGGTTAGCATTGGGAAACAAACTTCTTTCAATATGGGATTGTTGGGTTTTTCTGAAACATGAGTTTTAATCTCCCTGTGGCGTTTGATAATCGTCTTAAATATATTTTGTTTCTTGAAAGGCTTTTTCATTCGCCCCTTTTACAAGATGATGCTTCAGAAAATGATCACGCTGCATGACATGGAGTCGGTGGTAGGTCTCTCGTGTGTGGAGAGTTGGGGCCTGGCAGGGGTTGCCCATGCTGGGTAGGGGCTGTTCCGTTAAGCTACACACACAGCCCCGGTGATTTGTTTTGAAAACAGAAATTAATATGTTTTAATGTTTCCAGATGTAAATGAGGACTATGGAGATGGCCCCGTGGGTAAGAGCATTTGCTGGGCGAACACGAGCCTGAGTTTCTGCTCTCGTACCACAGAGACAGCTGGCCATTCTGTAAGGGTGTCTGAAACCTCAGTGCGGTGGAAGGCAGAGAGGCTGGAGGATCCCTGGAGCTGGCTGCCCATGAGCTCAGTTCCGGGGTCAGCCAGAGACCCTGCCTCAATGGGATAAAGCAGAGACTGACAAAGCAGGGCTCTCAACACATGTGCTGAGTAGATGCATGACACACACTCATGGACAGTTTTTCTGGCATAATGCAAATGGACATTTTTCTGGCATAAAATATACTGGAAGGAAACTTGCTCGTCCCCGCCCCACTTGTTCTGAGCTGGGCCTTTTTCCGGTCTCCTCCCTGTGTCCACCGCACACTGGCTTGATTCCCACGCTTGTCTTAATTTTCCATGCGCTGCAAATACTATTTATGCCTTCTGCTGAACTCTTTTGTATCTGTCTTTTATATTTACCTGTTTTTTTTGCTTGTGTATGTGTGGGCACCCACACATAGAGGGAGTGAGTTCTCTCCTTCCATCTTGGGGATTCCCAGGGCTGGATTCCGAGCGTCAGCTATAGTGGCAGGTGCCTCTACCCACAGAGCCATCTCCATGGACAGCTTCCTGCTAACGTTTTAAATCTTCATTTGTTTATGGGGGGGGGGGTTGCTTGTATCATGGCACACCTGTGGAAGTCAGAGGACAGTTTGCAGAAGTCCCTTCTCCGCTTCCATAATGTGGGTCCCAGGGATTGAATGAACTCGGGTCATCATGCCTGGTGTCAGTTGTCTTTACCCACTGAGGCATCTTGCTGGACCTCTGCTAAGTACTTTATACCATGTAGTAGTTAGACACCTATTGGGTTTTAAGTTATACTTGTCTGTGACAAAGGGCTTAAAGCTGGCACTCCAAAGGCAGAGCACACACACACAACACACCTCATGTACATAGGATAAAAAATAAACATAACTTTTTGAAAACCACACCGTCTGTAAAAACTGTATAGTTGGTGACTGACCTTGGGCCCCACGCGCACCACCCCACACGGGGCCACCAGCAGCACACATAAGACTTGGTCCTTGGCCTTCCATTTCTTTACAGGAGCCTCCACAACACTCTGCCTTTGGAGTGCTCTCAGAGCCAGGAAAGAAGGCTTAGGTCCCTGAAGCCGGAGTAACAGATGGTTGTGAGCCAGTTGTGAGCCGCAACGTGGGTGCTGAAAATTAACCCTTGGTCTGCTGCCGTGCAGCCAGAGCTCATGACCACTGAGCTGTCTCTCCAGGCACCTGCTGCTTCTTTCTTGTACTTTCTGTGCTACAACAAATGTTTGAGGTAGCGAACAGGCTGTTCTGCAATGCTCTGTGGAGCCAGGGATGGCTTCTGAGCCTCCTCCTGGGTGCTGGGAGCACCGGCCGCACCTGGTTTCTGCTTTTCTAGGAACCGAGTGTTGGGCTTTGCACATGTCAGCAAGTACTCCAGCAGCTGGGCCCCAGCCCCAGCCCCAGCGTGGTTCTTTAGGAGCTGTAAGAGCACATAGTCACTGTGTGGGTTGCTTATGATTTTGTGTTTAGTGTGGCCCAGCCCTGAACTCATGCAGTCTGGCAATCCTCACGCTGGGATTTCAGGTGTGGGCCCTGTGTGCAGCTTTTCATATAGGTGATAGGGGAGCCATCTTCCCAGCCCGTCATGGGCGGTGAGGTAGCTTTGTATGTACAGATTGTTTTTTTTAACACAGGTTTTTCTTAGGGGTATAGCTCAATGTTAGAGCACTTGCCTAGAATGTACAATGTCCCGAGTTCAATCCCCAACACTGTAAGATGAATTAGCCCATTAATTAGAATGTAATTTCCTTTCTAGGATAGTGAATATTACAGTTCTCTGCGCTGGATTCTTGAAAATGACCCGACGGAGCTGGACCTGAGATTCATTATAGACGAAGAACTTTTTGGACAGGTCTGTGGGCTCTCAGATATATCATTTGCAAACCCTCTGCTGTCACCTACGTGTCTACATCAGTACATGCCTGAGGCCCTTCTGCGGCCTGCTTGTCCACCGATTTCCGGTAGTGGGCGCTGTCTCTGGGGCGGTTGTTGTGCCCGCACTGATATTTGGTGATTCCCTGTTTATCTTAGGAGAACTAATACTTAAGTTTCCTTTGAATGGATTTAATTTAAAGCACCAGGCTTCTGGTGTAACTCATGCTCATCCCCCCTCACCCCCATTTTCCTCGCTAAAATACCATGTCATGTTTAATTTAGACACATCAACATGAACTGAAAACTGGCGGCTCAGAGATTGTCGTCACCAACAAGAACAAAAAGGAGTATATCTAGTGAGTGCTTCCTTTCTGAGTGTTCTAGAAAGAATTCTGTGCTGCTTTCTTTTCTTCTTAATTAATTAATTTGTTTATTTACTTTTGAGAAGATTTTTCCTTTACTTGCTCTTTCTTCCCCTATGCCGGAATCTAATTTTCTTAGGAAAACACACTTTAGTTCTCCCTGTTTCTGTTCAGCTTTTGCCTTGGGCCCAGCTAGTCTGTCTGTTCCTAAGTGGAATAAACATGTCCTAAAATTGTTTCTTGGTTTGTGTGTAGAGGGGGAAAAAAAGAAATGTTTTGTTTTACTTTTTTTCTCCTTTTAGCCTTGTGATACAGTGGCGATTTGTGAACCGAATCCAGAAGCAAATGGCTGCCTTTAAAGAGGTACAAAGTGCTCTTTCTCTTGCCTTCCCATCACTTCAGAGAACCGCCTGTAACTTTTAACTTTCAAGTGTTTGCATCTCAGTGCGTCTGAGAGGGATGAGATGTGGCTGGCTTTGTGAAACCGTTCACAGTATGTTTTCAGTTTAATTTCATGTTTCTGAAATAATATGCACATGCATGCCTGTGAAGGCCCTTAAAGGAGCCCTGGAGCTAGGGTTACACGCAGTTGTGACCCACCCAACAAGGTAGGTGTTAGGAGACAGACGCGGGTCCCCTGCAAGAGCGCTGTGGACTCTTAAGCACTGAGCCATCCATCCAGCCCCGTTGAGCATATATTTATATTAGCACAATATTGCTGGAATAGATGCTCACTGTGAAAATACAGTCACTCTGAGCAGCAAACACTGAGCGGGGAAGTGCTGAGCCTTCAAAGTCCTTGCTAGTCAACCATGAGGACCAGAGTTCTAATCCCAGAACACAAGTGAATGCTGGGTGGGTAGCTGTAATTGCAGCCTTGGAAGGTAGAAGCAGGGGACACCCACACCAAACCCAACCTCACTCTGCCTGATGCCCCCCGCAGGCTGGTCGTATCAGTGAGCTCTGGGTTTGATTGAGAGTCCCTGACTTAGTGAATAAGGTAAAAGAGCAACTGAGGGTGATTCTTGACATCAGCCCCCAGGCCCCCGCCCCTCCAGACACACAAGTGTCCACATGTACTCAGACATGCCTAGACACACACACAATGAATGAAAATGGTTTGAACCCTAGGCACATATGGTCACGTGGTGGAAGGAGAGAGCTGACTCCTGCAAGCTGTCCTCTGACCTCCACATGTGCAGCAGGGCATTTGCAAACATAAGACAAAACGGAATGTCTCAGAAGCAGCTGATATCAAATAGGATACAAATCCAGAGTGTTACATCTGATGTTGGCCCTGTCCCAGGCAGGGCAGGTGACAGGGTCGTGGGGTGTGAGCGACTGGATTTAGCACTTCATACTGTATACACTTGGCTGTGAAGGGAAGAAGAGAGGGGTGTTTTTAAGGCGGCTGTGGCTTGGGCAGACTGCAGGGGGTGGAGGATGGTTAGGAGGAGGGAGCTGAGGAAACAAGGTAAGAGGCTTGCAGAAGGGTCCTCCCTCCTCTGCAGTGGGCGCAGCCAGGATGGGGCATGGATTTCTTTCTGCTCATCTCCTTCTTGATACTGTGAAGAAGCGGTGGGGAGGGAGGGAGGGAGGAGGCCTGAGAAGTGATGGAAGGTTTTAAAGCAGCCACTTTGAGAAATAAAAGCAGAGAACAGCCATATTGATATCACAGTGATGAGCTTGTGACTGTACAATGGCAAAGTGAGAGTGCTCCCGAAGATCTGTGTACAAGTGGGAGTGCTCCCATGCCACCAAGATGCCCCAGCCTGGGAGCTGAGCCTGCAACCTGCTTTCCTTCTAGGGATTTTTTGAGCTGATTCCACAGGATCTCATCAAGATATTCGATGAAAATGAACTAGAGGTAAGAAATATTTCTCTGTGTGGGTGGGAATGGTGAAAACTCTGGGCCTGAGTTCAGTCCTCAGCACCGCTGGGGAGAGGAGGGACTACAGAGGAGTGGGAGGGAGAGGAGCGGATTCAGCTTAGATGGTAGAGTGGCAGAGTTTGTGGAGGGAATGGGGGAGGAGGTGGGGCTTACTCGGCGTGTATGAAGCCCTGGGTGCCGTCCTCAGTGCACTTAAAAGCAGGTGTGGCGCACACCTGATAACCAGCTCTTGGGAGGTGGAGGCAAGAGGATCAGCGGTTTGGTGGCATCCATAGCTACACTGTTTGGAGGAAACCGGAGCTACAGGTGCCCTGTCTTCAAAATGAGAGCCCACAAGATGACTCAGTTGGGAAAGGCATTCACTGCCAAGCCTGACAGCCTGAGTTTGACCCCTGGGCTGGAGATGGACTCCCAGTTGTCCTGACTCGCACTCATATGCATGTCACTACTTTTGCATGCAGACACACACATACAAACATAAATGAAGTAAGAAAGATGGAGAAAGAGCACTGTTTTACGCTAAGACAGCTATGGCTGGATGTAGTGGTGCACTGGGGCTGAGGCAGGTGGATCTCTTGAGTTTGAAGCCAGCCTGACCTATGTGACAAGTTCCAGGACAACAGAGCTTTGCCACAGTTTTTCCTGCTCTCGGTTCTGACTGTGTCTTGTCTGCAGCTTCTCATGTGTGGCCTGGGAGATGTGGACGTGAGCGACTGGAAGGAACATACAAAGTACAAAAATGGCTACAGCATGAACCACCAGGTTATCCAGTGGTTCTGGAAGGTAAGCCAAACCGTGCTTTGTGTACAGTCTGCTAGACCATGCCGCCTAGAGGAAGCAGACCTTTGGTTTTGTGCGGTGTGCCTTTGAGTGTGAGTCCACACTCCCACCTATGTAGCGGTAAGAGGGAAAGCGTGCGGAACTGTAGTAAACGAGCTGGGGCAGACACGGTAGCTTTCACCAAGATGGGGCCTCTCTCAGGGACGTGGAATAACCTGCATCGTGGCTTCTTCAGGTTCTCTTACGGATACCCCATTCAGTAATATCAGTAATGTAATGATTAAAGGTTTTTAAACTGTGTGTGTGTTGATATGTCACGTTTGCAGTGCCTGCAAGGGCCAGAGGAGGGCACAAGATTCCCCTAGAACGACAGGTACAGACAGCTATGAGGCAATATGTGGGTACTGGGAGTGGAACCCGGGTCCTCCACAAGAGCAGTGAGCATCCTTAACCCCAGCCCTGAGAGAAAAGCCTTAGAAACAAGGGTTTGGGGAACAAGAAGAGCAAAACTTTTGTGATTATTCTCTGAATTCTAATGGCTTTTCCCCCGCTGGATAATTTGTCAGTACTCTTCTCTAATGAGTCTTTCTGTTTTTTCAGGCTGTTTTGATGATGGACGCAGAAAAAAGAATTCGCCTGCTTCAGTTCGTCACCGGCACTTCCCGTGTGCCTATGAATGGATTTGCTGAACTCTATGGTAAGGAGTCTGCATAGATACCGCAGAAATGCAGGCACTGGCTGTCATTCTCATGGCTGATGAGTCTTCAAGTTCTGCCTTTTTCTTTTGTTGTTGGTGGGTTTTGGGGTTTTGGGGGGGTTTTGTTTTGTTTTTGTTTTAAGACAAGGTTTCTCTGTGTAGCCCTGGCTGTCCTGGACTCACTTTGTAGACCAGGCTGGCCTCAAACTCACAAGCAATCTGCCTGCCTCTGCCTCCCAAGTGCTGGGATTAAAGGTGTGTGACACTGCGCCTGGCCACCATTTTCTTGTTTAGCGTAATTTTTAAAAAAAAATTACTTTAAGGGTTCGGGAGACAATTTGATTGGAAAGTGCCAGCCTAGACTACTTGGCAAGCTACTTGTGGGTAGGAGACCCTGTCCCCAAGAGGAGATGGTGCCTTAGGGAACTGACCTGAGGAGGCCCTCCAGCACACACACATGCACTTTGTGCATACAGAGAATTAGGACTTCTGAGTGATACAATGTGACATACTGAAGCAGGCCACGCTGCTTTTCTACCTTCTAATCAGATGGTGGAGGAGAAACTGGGAAATGGTGGAGTCACTTTCATCCTTGAACATAAGCTCTGTTCTCTCTCTGGTCGCAGGGACAGCAGTGCCTCTTGCCTGGCGGTCCCCAGCCTTCCTAACGCTGCAGTCCTCTTCTGCAGTTCCACGGCTGTTACGAATCACAGTATAAATACCTGTGTTTTCTGATGATCTTAGGCAACCCCTGTAAAAGGGTCACTCAACCCCCAAAGGGCTCACAACCCACAGGTTGAGAGCCACTGCTCTAGGGTACTGGCTAAGGACAGCAGTAAAAGAGTGTTTGCCAAGTCTCAGCAGTGAGCAGTGGCCTTAGAGAATACATGAGCTGCACTAAAAAAAGTTAAATTACCCCTCTTACCCAAGGATTCACCTTCTGCTATTTCAGCTACTGCAGTCCTTGAGTCCAAAAATATTAAAGGATATTTCAGAAAGGGCCGAGGCCACAGTCACATGCCTTTGCTTAATCTGTACTGTTAGGTTGTTCTCTTTATTCATTATTACTACTTTTTTGTTTCTTAAGTGTGATATGGCGTGTATACGTAACGCCAGCAAATACGGGATTCAATACTATCCACTACTTTAGATGCCCACAGGGAACTTGAAATATATTCTCCACAGATGAGGAAGAACTCAAAGATTGCTTTGGAATTAAAAAATAAAATAAAATAAAAAGTAGGTTTTTTGCCCAGCTTTAATTTTTTTATCATGGAATAGTATTTTTCCTTCTGTGGTTTGCGGTAAGCCGTGGGGTAAAGGCTTTCTGTAGGTTCTTCATTCTTGTGAAAATGGCAAGGCCCCAGATAAAGCCACATAGCTCCCTCTCTGTTTTTATTTTATGTGTAATGGTGTTTTCCTTCATGTATGTCTGTGTACCATGTTCTTGCCTGGTACCCAAGGAAGCCAAAAGAGGGTGTCAGAGCCCCCATAGCTGGAATTACAGGAGGTTGTAGGGCACCCAGTGTGGGTGCAGCGGCCCTGACTTGGGTCCTCGGCAAAGCACTGTGGGCTCATAACAGCCGAGCTCTTGGCAGCCCCAGTACCAAAACTTGTAGCTGTGACTCTGAGCATGGATGGTGAGATGAGAAGTTACACCTTGCTGCTGAGAATAGTACATTTTCTCTTGCTGCTTCTGGCAGCTGTGCGTGCGCATTTGGAAGAGATTATGAGACGTGAGGAGAAGAATGGAAAGTCGCCGGTCAGGATGTGAGAGCCCAAGTTATTTGGTGGTTGGGGTGTTGAGGATTGGAGCAAGCTAAGTGGAAACTCTGAAAGAAAAAGAAAGGCAGTTTCTAAAATGTCCATAATGAGAAAAAATGTAGAGCATGTAACAGGGTCATGTGCTCTACCTGTGGGTCACAACCCCTTTGGGTCACATTTCAGACATTTACATTACAGTACATATCTGTTGCAGAATTACAGTTAGGAAGTTTCAACGAAATAACATTATGGTTGGGGTCATCACACCCTCTGGAACTGTATTAAAGGATCTCAGCGTTTGGAAGGTTGAGACCCACCGGTGTGTTCGCGTGTGCACACACTCAGAAAAAGTCACGAATCAGGTGTCTGAGCCCAACCTGGATCCCGGCACTTGGGAATCTGAAGCCCAGGGATTGACACAAGTTGACGGGCAGCATCAGCCACACTGTGAGTCCCAGCCCGGACTGCGAGTGACCGCCAGGCTTGAGCAGCAAACGAAAAAGAAAACAGCCCCCCCAGCCCCGAGACGGCTCAGTAGCTCAAGGCACTTGGCCGCCCTTCTTGATAACCTGAGTTCAATCCCCAGAACCCACAGGTGGAGGGGACCTCCTCCACTCACTGTTCTCTGGCCTCAGCACGTCTTCAGCCCGGATACACACAGAGAAAATATAACTTAACTTTTCTTAAAACTCGGGGCTGAGACTACAGCTCAGTAGTCAAGTACTGAAGGCATGTGGGAGGCCTGAGTTCCACACCGGGAAACAACAAAACAAAAGAAAACCACACGCACACACAGCAGCAAAAAAAAAAAATCCCTCCCCAAACTAACCACCTAACATGCTAGGATTTGGGTGGCTTTTATTTTCTTTGGCCGTGTTTTATTCTCTTGTTTTCAATTTTTTTTAGTAACATATAAGCAGAAAAAAGTTAAAACTATTTTTTAAGGGAATCAAGAGCAGAAGGGGACTCTTCCCTTCTTCTGTGTACCTGTGAAGAAAGTCCTAGGAAGAAGCAGCAGGGCCAGGGCCAGGGCCAGAGGAGGGCGCTCCGCTCACAGTTGAAATGACAGTCAGTTTGCTTTATGACCGGCAGGCAACTCCAAGCACAGGGCAGGCTTCGTTTTCTTTTCTGCTTCATTTTCTGTGTGTCGAGCTCTGCATATAGCGAAGGTGTGTTGCGATGTCTAGGGACTTGTGGGTGAAGATGACTAACCCGCAGAAACTCACCTTCCCCGCAGGCTCAAATGGACCCCAGTCCTTCACAGTTGAACAGTGGGGCACCCCGGACAAGCTGCCAAGAGCACATACGTGGTGAGTAGAGCTGGCTCCCTTGGCAGAGCAGAGTTCCCCTCCCCGCCAGCCTCCAGCGGCCCCTGCCATGCCCTCCTGTAGGGTGTGTGACGGCCTTAGAAGAGAGGGAGAGATGGGAACACAGATCCATGCTCAAAATCCAGGAAGCTAAGGGTAGAGAGGCCCAGCTGAAGTGCAGGCTGTACATATCCCCCGTTCCATGAGTCCCCAAAGCGCTAGAACAGTTCCCTGTGGGAGGCTAACAAGGTCAAGGTGGGAGGGGAGGACAGAGAGTTAGGAGAGCCTGCAGCCTATTAAGACCTCTGGTGGCAGTGATCCTGTGGTTACCATGGTGACCGTCCCTGCACCATGTCAATCCTAACCAGATCCTCTCTGTCCTTTCAGCTTCAATCGCCTGGACCTGCCTCCCTATGACTCGTTCGACGAGCTCTGGGATAAGCTTCAGATGGCAATCGAGAACACGCAGGGCTTTGATGGGGTCGACTAGAGAGGCAGGTGTTCGAAACAGGCTGTGGGGGCTTGACCACCATAGCTTCTAAGCAAAAGCAAAATCCCATCTTACCACTTTCCAGAAATTTCTAAAAGGTTGTCACTGGCTTCTCCCACGAGACCAGAGGATAGTTTGTCCATGATTTCAGCCACCACCATGCTGACGTATTCATTTGTCCAGTTTCTTTGTCCTGTCGTTAAGGTTCACGCATGCTCACAGGACTCGAGTCCTGTGCGCCTGCATTCTGACCATATCTCATCTTGCTAGGCACATCCTTCTGAAACTACTGAGATTCCAACTGTGAAATATCTGTAATGAGTATCTGGTGGGAAAAAGTTGATGTTTCTTTAAGATGAAATTTGGACAAAGAAAGTCTCTCTCATATTGAGTAAACCGCGACACACTTAGCGCCACTTGTAGCTACGCATTCTGTAGACCTGCCTAGCACACCTTATTGCCTAGACCTTTGAAGCCGCTTTGGAAGATGTATCACATATGTTTTTAGTCACTTGCAAAAACAAAAACAAACAAACAAAAAAAAAAACAAATTTTTTTTTTTTTTTTTACTTTTCACTTGGGAAGTATTTCACGTTTGTTAGCATGCAGCTTGAGTCTACAGCAATTCAGGAGACACGTGGAGCAAGCTTTTATTTGCAATCGTAGAAAGTGTTAGGTCTCGCTCTTGCCCGAGGCTCAGACACAGGCTAGAGTCCTTCTGTGTTAGCGCGTTTAGAATCCCTTCAGCCACGACACAAGCTCCACAAAGCAGTGTTTCTAAGCATGCCGTGAAGAACCGAGTTACATGTATGATTTGCCCCCTTACCAGCCACTCTTCACGATTGTGCAGTCACGTAGTACATACGTGTTTACGGAGTTCATTATGTTTACAGATTAAGCGATTTCTGTAGTTGCATTTTTATATTTTTAGTATCACATTAGTATAAAAAATTTGTTTAAAATAACCAAAGAGTAGTTCAGTGCATAATTTGTATAAATTTGTTACCAGGTTTCTTATGCTTTCTAAAAAATACTGTTTACTATGACAATTATGTTTTATGAAAAGTCAAAAAAAACCCTTGGGACAAAATGCTAGAGGTGGAATCCCACAGTGACCACACTGAGGTACAGAAAGAGAACCATGCGTGAATCAGCATATGCAGACAGTGCCGGCTAGGTGCCAGGCCCTTGAGATAAAAAAACAACTGTCAGCAGCGAAGGCCAGCTCCGTCTTCATCCTCGAGCTTAGAAATGTGTAGGTGACTTCATGAACAATGGAAAGTAGGGATGAACAGAATAAGGCAGAAGGAAGGGGAGGCGAGGTCCCAGTCCGACTGCCAGGATCGTTCGTTTGTGCCAAGGCTCCTTTCCTTCATCCTTACAGTGGTGTGTTTATATGGAAAATGCTCTTACATATGAAAAAAAGCTAAGCCTGCTTTTGTGTGTGGCATGTGTAGAATTAGCTTAAGCATATTACAAACTTTCCACAAAGTTTCACGTAAATGCCCCGTGGGGGGGCCTGTAAGTACTCGGGCCATTGGTTTAAGCATGTACCATGGCAAGTAGCTGCCGGCGCATGGTGAGGATTCCAGCCACAGCGGGGAAACACTTTCCATAGGCCACTCAGTGTGTGGGTCAGGAAAGCAGTTCCCAGGCCAGTGCACACTTCCCAGGCGGCTCGGCCGCCAGTGCAGTCTTGATTTCATCCCTGGCCTGCTGAACCCGCGCCACTGGGCTCCAGCTTCTCCGTCTGACGGGCGTGAATAGCTATGCCGTCCTTTCTGTCTTTTGACCCTAGTAAGTTCTGGAGCAGGGAAAGAGCAGGCAGCGCTTCTTAGAGACTTACTTTCCTGGCAGAGGCTCTGCTTCAGGCAGCCACGCTGTCGCCCCACCCAGTGAGTATGTTCACCTGAAAATAAATAAAAGATTCACGGTAGGTGAGGATGGAGAGACGCCGCCTGCCGGCCTGTGTTTCCTCCTGGATCGTAGCATTGGAGTCCACTTCTCCACAGTGCAGAGTGACACCAGTGTGGCCGGTGTGTTACCTGGAGTGCCCGCATTGTATGGAACAGGGCGAAACCATCTTGTGAAAACAGGCCTAATTGTACAGGGTTGTTCAGCATCACCCGAGAAGGCATCCGCAGCAGAGCTTAGGAAACACAAGCTTTCTTTTCGTTAGACCGAATACCCCTTTGGATGGTCAGTGGCTTCACTAGAACCTGGCGTTAAGGAGACCAGGCGTCCCCCCTCCTGGTGTGAGCCTGTGGTCTGGAGGGACCCTGCGTGGAACACCAGCCCCTCACGCCAGTGTCAGCGTCCCCCTGGGAGCTGTGCAGTCACTCTCACAAAGCGAAGGCTTTGTGCTTTTCTAGGAAAGCATTTTAGCCTTCGTTTTCTCTAATCCCGCCCCCCCCCAAAAAATGAAATACAAAATTGCGTTACAAATGCAAACCCAAATGGTATTTGCTTTAGTTTTTTATTTATAACGCTCAAGTTATTCCTTATAAATGTCAAGCTAAACACAATTGGTTTTGATGATAAAGCTATTTGACATTGTTTTTAAATTTTTTTTCTTATATGGTAAATGTATATCCAGATTAATGTATCAAAATTTATTGCATAAACTATAAAATCATTTTCAAAAATCTCAATTCCACAAATAAAGTTCTATTCTAATTTTAAAAACAAAGCTGTGACTTGGTTTACCTAGGAATGCTTTCAGACTACTGTACTGAGTGATGTCTTCAGATTCTCAAGACGTACTTGACCCGTGTGAACGACCGCTGAGGAAACTTAACTCTGTGATGGACAGCCTGTCTCCACTTTAAAATGTTGACCTGTGGTTTGGGGTTCAACGGATCTCCCTATAATGATGAACTCAATAGCCTCGCTCCTTCAGCCAGCATGTACTGTGCACACACAACGCCTTTCCAAAAACTGCACCCCCGAACCCCTGGAGTCCTCCCTTGCATTGGGCTACGCAAGTGTAAGCTTCCTCTCCCCTGTTAACAATCAGATTTAGACAGTACCCAGCGTGCCACAGAAGGGCTGGTCCTCCTTGAACTGATGCATTTGCAATAGGTATGTCTTCTCATAAACTTGGGGGAGAATCCCCTATTCCATGCTATGCATGATTGGATATGCATATGACTAAAATCACATGCATTATGACTGGTTCTCAACACGTGGGTCACGACCCTCTCACAGGGGTCACATCAGATACTCATATTGTGATTCACAACAGTAGCAAGATTACAGTTATGAGGTAGCAATGGAAATAGTTTTATGTTTGGGAGTCACCACATGAGGAACTGTGTTAAAAGGGTCACAGCATTAGGAAGGTTGAGAACCACTGCATTATGGGATAGGATACCATAGAGGGGAAAGTGAATATTTTAAAAGAGCCAACCCCTAGGGTGGGAGAGGAAGAGCTGGCCACACCTCTTGCCTGCTGCAGCAATAAAGAAAGCTAAAGCGACCCAACACACACACCCTGGCCCTGCACCTCTCCTGGGCAGCACAGGAGAGCTGGCCCTGTCCCTTGCCAGTTGCTGCCTTTTGGGAACCAGCCAGGGCTGTAGTGGAGAGTTCAACCTGGTGCAAGAGAACGGGTAGGAAGACCAACTCAGCTAACACCCAGGCCCAGACTCGGGGCTTTCTAGTTGACCCACCCCAACATCTACCCTATCTGTGAACTGCTGGAGCACTCAAAAGGGCCTCTCCTGCAAATTCAAAGCTGCAGGATCTCCACGACACGGGGCAACAACAGGGTAGCCGAGCAGAGTCCCCGTGAGGATCCAGTATCGGTGGAGCAGAAACCAGAGGCCTCGGGCCAGATCAGTAAACATTTGCAGGTAAAGAAGTGTGGACAAAGGGGACACGATAGTGGAACACACTGACACACTCAAACTTCTACAACAAGATCTTTTTTTGTTTTCATTTGGGAGGGAGGTTACAAGGGCAGGGGCAGATGAGAAGGGATGGAGAAATGAGTGGGATTGGTGTGCATGATGTGAAGGAATAGAATGCTTGTTTGGTTTTTTTTGTTTTGTTTTTAATCTTTTAAGAGTATATCAGATCTCGTTCAGGCACCCTCCACTGCTGATCACTAAAAGTCCTCAGTGCTTGGACTTCTGGAACATTCATCATTTCTCTTTCCATCACTTTCTTGGGCTCAGTGACCCCAGCACTGATCTACACTAGAACTAGTAACCTTGTATTAGTGATTATCTGCATAATTTTTACCTACATTTGGGCAGCTTAAGGACAGAGGAGGTAAGTTTTTATTTCTGCATCTCTATCTGTATAGAACACACCTGAAAGCATGCTCTCTCGGAGACCAAAAGAGGGCAGCAAGTCCCTTGGAGCCATATTTACAGACCATTGTGAGCTGTTTGTTGTGGGTGCTGAGACCTGCCTCTGCCTCTGCCTCCCCAAGTGCTGGGATTAAGGGCGTGCACCCCCATGCCCGGCAAGGCAAATGTTGTTAATCACTGAGAAGAAAAATGGCTCCCTGAGATAATATTCAGAATTAGTCATTCCAGGAGAAGAAGTGTCATTAAGTGGTGCAGCCACCTAACTACATTGACCATGACACAGGAAATAACCTCCCATCTCAAAAAAGTCTATGTTGTAGTTAATGGTTTTTAAAGGTGTGTGTGTGTGTGACGTGCCCACATATACGTGAGGGTGCCACTGGAGACCAAAGAACGGCGTTGGATCACCTGGAACTGGAGTCACAGATGCTTGTGAGCCACCATTTGGGTACTGGGAATCAAACCCAGGTCCTCTGGAAAAGCAGCCAGTGCTCTTAACCACTGAGCCATCTTTCCATTCCACCATTTTTTATATATTGACCAATGACTGTTGAAATCTATTTTCACAACCCATTGCATTTTCCTGAGAAAAGAGAAGGATTTTTTTTCCTGTCAGCTACACCTAACGCTGTTGACATTGATGGTTTAAATAACTCAACCATATTACCATTGATCTATCTTTTAGTTAAACTGGTTATTCCTAAACCAGCTGTATACCCAAATCACCACACAGAGGCTAGGATTTATTAACCTAGAGCACAATGCTGGGCAATAGTTACTCCACCCTAAACCTCCAAGCTCACATAGTTTCGTCCCATTCAGATTTTCCCACAATATACTTGCTTTTAATCATA